CACCAGTTGATGCAGACTTCCATGCACTCTGCTTGTTTGCGAGGAAAAGTACATGTAGCAGGACTCTCCTGGAGCAAGTGAGCCTTCAGGGGCCATGTCATGCTTGCTTTGTTATACTTCATGCCAAGTTCGACGAGTGCATGCACATCCCAGCCTGCATGGCCATGCCAGGGATTTGTCGTGATTGCTAAAGCCAAACATGGCCATCACAGGCCCAGGCTCTTCAAGACGGACCGCATATGTGAGGTCAATGCAGGCCACATGAACTCGCTGCACAGCAGCCAGAGTTGCAGGCCCAGAGCAGAAAATCCAGAGCTTTGTCCTGTTTCTATATACGAGGGACATGTAGCCACTGTGGCCGTGCCAGGCAAGTTGCTGTGTTGTGCGAAAGCCAAGTGTACATAGGACCATGCCATGCCGTCACGTCTCAGCATTTTGGGTTTAGGGTCGGAAATAGAAGTGGAAATGCATAGTGCAGTTTGACCTTAAGAGACTCTAAACCCTGGACCCTAAACCCACAAGAATATACCCTTACATCCCAAAGCATAACCTCCCAAACCCGAGAGCTCGAAGCGCCATTTCTAAGCCAGGCCCTGAAGCAAAGCCAACACCATCCAAGTCCTCCAACCGCCAACTTTCTTCTAGAACCCCCAAGCTTCGTAGGGTGAAGCCAAGCCTTTGCAGGGAGCCAAGTGGCCATGCCAGACTGTTTGCACTTCCATTCTAGGGAGCCAAATGGCCATACCAGACTGTGTGCAGAGCCATGCAAGGCAGGTCCATGCTGCAGGAGCACAGCTTTTGCCAAAACACAGACCATTCGCAGCAACAGCAGCTGCCAAGCCACCAGGTATCTCCACGGCAGCATTGCTGAGGGTGCCATCAAGACCAAGAAGACCAAGAAGACCACGAAGGCTGCCGGAAACCCAAGCACAGCAGCTGTGCACCAGCGGCCAAAAAAAACGCCTCCAGTTTCGATTGCCTGAGCCGTTGTGGCCATGCCAGGCCATTGAGTTTGTTGTTTGAAAGCCAAGTGGCCAGGCATGCCATGGCACACATGTTCGTCTCTCTTTTTCGTTCCGCTGCAGCCTCTTTTGGCCATATAGCGAGCTGCCCACAGCTAGCCAAAGCCTCCACTCCAGTGCCGCCATGGTCAAAGGAGTCAAAAAGCCAGCGGCTGCCAAGGAGGCCACGACCAGGAGCAAGCCCAGGGCCAAGAAGCCGGCAGCAAAGCACGACTCCACGGACTCCACGGCCGTCTCTTCCAAGCCCGTCCAGCCTCCACCACAGGGGACAGTGACGGCCCTCCCAAGCAGTGCCATGCTTCCACCAGAGGAGCCCATCGGGCCGCACGTAATGCTGCGGTGTGTGGTATGCCACCGCTCCACTATCTTTCTTTGGAAGCTCTATCACAATGCCAAGTGCACCCAGTGTGATTCCCCATGGATCACCAGCTTGGCGGGAGGAGCAGGCCTCGTCTACAGGTGGTGAGGGGCCACCCACCACCAGCAACCAGGCACCATGGGCCACTTTCTTCCATGCCACCAGGGCCTCTCTCCAGACGGCCCAGGTCGGCCATGGCTGCAAAGGTATGGAGGCCATTGGTTTTTTTGAAGGACCCAGCCTGCACCATGCAGGCCAGCAGCAGCATCTCCAAGCCGTGCCAAAAAAAGGGTGCTTGAACTCCAGAAGCCTTCCATGGCCATACCAGCAGCAGGTTGTCACATGCCAAGCCACAAAGGCCATCACATGTGTTATTTTTTTTGTCGGTTATATATTTATATCTGCACAGATGTATGCTTTTTTCTATATGTTCAGAAGACCATTTGGGTGAACATCCATGGAAGGACACATACATGTTTTGTACAGATATAGAGACATATATAGAAATGATTTGTCTGGAGTAACTTGTTTGTATATTAGATTCTGATTGTAATGAAGATATCTTTGTAAGCCATGTATCATATACTCAGCACCAACAGAAACAGGCAGAAGAAGAACAGCAGCATGAGCAGTCACAACCAGAGCAAGCAGCAGCTGCACACTGGAAGACCAAGAAGGACAGCTGGCCACGGCCACAGCAGCAGCAACAGGGGCACCAAGCTTGAGACCAGCATCCATTCCGATAGGGGTCTATAAGCTTCATGGTTTAGGGTCTGAAATAGAAGTGGAGATCCATAGTGCCGGTTCACTTCAGTAGACCCCAAACCCCAGACCCCATATAAACCCAGAACGATGTACCCATGAACCCCAAAGCCGAAACCTGCGAAACCCGAGAGCTCCAAGCGCCATTCCTATGCCAGGCCCTGAAGCAAAAGCCACCAAATCCAACTCCTGAAACAGCCAACTTTCTGCAAGAACACCCAAGCTTCGTAGCAGCAAGCCAAGCCATTGTAGGGAGCCATGTGGCCATGCCAGACTGTTTGCACCACCATTGTAGGGAGCCAATTGGCCATACCACACCGTCCCTTTTGTCAGCCCAGGTAGGTACGTGACCACAGTTGTTGCCAGAATCTTTGCTCTTCGGAGCAGCCCAGAGTGCTCGAACCACTGTAGGAAGCCACAGACAGAAGTTTTGTATGTCACCATACTGCCAAAGTAAGAAATATAGTAGATTCAGAATTTGAATCTAATTCACAGATTCTGGTAGTTAGATTCAAATTTTGAATCTAAGATTCTCCAAGATTCAGAATCTGAATCTTACTACCAGATATCCGCATTTAGATTCAAATTCTGAATCTAGCCATTTTACATACATAACAGCCACCATATAAACATCATCAAATATTTCCACATAAACTCAGTCGTCCTCCAGAGTGCCAGCCATGGCCACGTCGCCGACGGAGGTGCCAACGAGCCCCAGCGAGCACCCCACCGAGGTGCCCACAGAGGAGCTGGCCGACCCAACCTTGCCAGAAGAAGGCCCACCAGGGCAACCAACGGTCCAGATCCCCCTGCGATGCCCATCCCCGGAAGCTCCCACCGAAGCCAGCCCCACACAGCCAGGAGCCCCGCCATCACCCGTCACACCTTTCGACAAGCAGACCACAGCCCAACCTCCGCCCAAACTCAAACCCCCCATTGCCCAACCCGTCCCCCCAATGCCATGGCCCTTCCACGTCCCAATCCCCAACCCATGCCCAATCCCCAACCCATGCACTGGCTATGCTCGGCCCAGGCCACTTGTGCCAGCACTGGCACACACCTGCTTTGAGGCCACCGCCACACTGCCCATGGCATCCACAGCACCCATAGCACCATGCACCTGGCCAACACCAGCTCCCATGTGCATGCCTCTTCTCCCCACCACCAATCCACTCCTACCAAGGATCCCCTTCCACCCCCCCGCCACTTCGCCCGCAACATGGCCAATCCCCGCTTGCCATGCTGCCACCGCACCCACAGCACCCAAACCACCAGTCCAGTGTCCCGCCAGCAGTGGCCTCCCAGTGTCCTTTGCCCCACAGCAGCTTCAACCAACCGCCCAATACATCCAAACCATCCAGCCCAAAGCCCCTGTCAGTGGCCCAGACATGGGCCCCAAGCTGCCGTCCAAAGCGCCACCCACACACCAGCAGAGCCCCTCCCACACACTCCACCGCACCACGGCCATGACACCGCCACCAGGCAGCACCACACCCAACACACCGGCACCAGACGGCACCACACCCGGCACACCGCCGCCAGACGGCACCACACCCATCACACCGCCAGCAGGCAGCACCACCATCACACCCAAACCCAAGCTCAAATACCCACCCACCCGAAGGCCACAGACAGTGCATGAGGAGGTTCCAATGACACCACCCCCAGCCAAGTCCACCATTTCCACCCCTTTCAGCACCCCTCCAACCCCAATCCCACAACCCAAGACACCACCCACACCACCGCCGCCAACAACCCCACCAGTGGGAGGGATCAACCTGCTCCAACGAGCCCAAACCCCACCAAGATCACCGCCACAATCAGAGGCCAGGTCCAGCTCCAGTGCACCAAAAGCCAAACCTCTCATGCTGCGAGCAAAGTGGGCCTGTCCACCACCGGGGCCACCACCAGCAGAGCCAGTTCCGTGGAGCCAAGGCATTTCAGGAACCAGCCACAGCAAGACCAAGAGCACGGGCTGGAAACATAAGGTTGGCTGGCTAGCCATCTTGCTCCACAACCAGAGATGGACCAGGGCCCAAGAGCTGGCCAGTGTTTTCATCCAAGAGGCCAACGAGCAAGTCGCCACCGGGGCAACCCAACTGGAGACTGCCAGTGGTTCGCCAACATGGTGCCAGAAGTGCCTTTGGCTTTCCAAAGCCATTGCCAAGGACGACCATGGACGAGCCCAGAGACAAATCCAGTGGCAGCTCGACCAGATATAGATTCCATAGTTTTCATTCTACAATAACAATAACAGCATGCAGCATAGGCTTGATCCGGAAACCTCCCAATCTTTTTTGTTGCCATTTAAGCCATTCAGTGGTAAAGCCTGCCAACCACTTGGCCCAAGGTACATGGGGGAGCCCAAGTTCGGGGCCTGGGTCCAGGACCAACTGGACCAGATGGAGAGATCTGGGGCCACCACTCCAACGGCCATGCCAGATCGCTACAGAAGTCTCCAGTGACCACAAGGCCAGTGTGTCCATTCACAAAGATGACCCATGCAGTTTGCTCCTGCCAGGACCAAGGACGACCATGGCTTCTTCCAGACAAACCACGTGAAACCACAGCTGCCACAGTGGTCGCTGCCAAAAAGAAAGCTTTCAGTGCTCTGCCATGATCTGCATGCAAGCCAATCGGCCATACCATGCTTTGCGAGCCATGTGGCCAGCACCCTATTTTTCGAAGCAGCCAACTGGCCATGAACACATATTTATACTATATATATATATATCTCTCTCTGAACTTCATTTCAAGTCGCATTCCTTTGTGTTTGTTTCCCATGCTTTCTTCATTGCAGCCTTTTAGGCCATTCAGCCCGACCAGGCCAGTGTGAGCAGCCAGTGCTTCTCAGGGCCATGCAGCGGTACGGGTGCCAAGACTTCGTCGAGGAGATTGCTCATCTCCAGAAGCTGGCCGAGATGCTGCCAGACTCACCAGTCACCGAGAGCATGGCCAACACCTTCATGGCTAAGATCCAGGGATTCCAGTCCTGGTCCTCGGAGAGCATCTGCCAAATGCTTGCCAAGGCCGGCGAAGCTTCCAAACTGCCAGAGGCCATGAAAGCAAAGATTCTGGACACCATCCAGAATTTGTCCATGAACACCGGCTCCCAGCTCAAGTTGGTGAACACTGGCCAGTCCGTCCAGCGGCTGTGTCCATACTTGACCAGGCCAGACTGGGTCGCTTTGTCCACCCTCACGAGCCAAACGGACCAGCTGGAGCTCTTAGCCAAAAGACTCCGAGCCATGGGACTGCATTCTTTAAAAGAATGCACCAAGGGCCAAGCGGTCGCCATTGTCTTGATGGTGCAAGCTTCGCAAGGCAAGCCAAGCCTTTCGGCAGCTGCCATCAACTCGGCAGTCCAGGACTTCGGAATCATCTTCCAGTCCCTGCCAAGCAGCAATTGCCCCGGCGCCAGCAGATATCCAGACCATCCATCAGAGATGGGCCAGCTTTGGCTCTCCAAGGCCTATGGTCCAGGCGACCAGCCAGATCTGCAGGACCCATGCCTGGCTCCATTTTTGAAGAAAGCCCCTTGGTTGCATAACTTGGATCTGTTCCGTGTTGCATTTGTTTCTTGCATGCATGTAGACATTTCTACGTCTTCGTCCCCGAGGTGCCTCTTCGAAGCACCCATGCTTCATTGGCCGGCGGCACCAGGTGCAGGTCCAAGCGGCCTCCAGCGACACCTCAGGGCTCCACCTTAAGCTTCGACCAGGAGCTGGAAATGCTGAAGCTGCGGCATGGCATCCAAGCCCAAGCAGCCACACAAGGCACAGCCACTCTGCAGGGAAGCCAAGGGCCCACCGCCGCAGCAACAGCAGTGTTGCCTTGGCTGTCGCCGCGAAGCATGGTCCAGTCCCACAGCCAGAGTGCTGCCAGCACAACTGCCCCTGGCCAGGTCTTTGGCCAGAGCACAGCATCTGCCGCTGCTTTGCCACTTCCTCCGGCAAGCCCGCCTCCTGAAGCCACGACCAGAGTCGAAGCAGCTCCCACGGAGACGACTGCCAAGGAAGACAGTGCCAAGCAGGACACGTGTATATTTTTGTTTAGTTTCCTTCCATACTGCTTATTCGGGGTTGTTCTGCAGCATTCACCCTGCAAGGACGCCAAGACATTGCAGGAGTACGAGCAGGAGCAGTTCCAGAAGCTGCTGGATGCCAAGGCCGACAAGAAGAAGAAGGCCAAGGAGGACGGCCAGGCCGACCAGAAGCCCAAGAAACAGCATATGAAGCGGCCAGCAGCAGCCATGTCTACCCGACAAAGCTCGGCGAACCAGGGCACCACCTGCAACGGCCATGAGGCTGGCAAAGGTGCCACCGCCGCCAAAGGCGGCAGCACAAAGATCCTCTACGGATGTATCCGCTGTCGTGGTAATGTTAAGGGATGCTCCAGTTGTTGGGACCCAAACTTTCGGGGCACCCGTCTCCACGGCCGCCAAGCTTGGAGGGAGTACATCGAGGCCCACAAAGCCAACAAGGCCATGAAGAAGGCTCCCAAGAAGTAGTGCCAGGCATGGTTCCAGGCAGTTTGTTTTCTTGCAGGGCAGCACCAAGGGGCCCAGGTGCAGGGTAGCAAGAAGCCACAACAGCCCAGGCAGGGTGCACCGTGCCGACACGAGCAAAAAGACCGCCTGCATGTCTTTGGACAAAGTGATTCTTTGAAGCCATGCCGTGGCCATCCTGCAGCATGCTGTTTCTGTGTATATATGCACTTCCGAGGTCTTTGTTGACGCACTGTGCCCGCCATCGCTTCAGCAACGAAGGTTCCAGACTTCTCCCACGAAGAGGTCCATGCATGTGAGTCTGACATCCACAGCCTATATAGACAGGGATGCAGCCTTCATCCATATAGCACACATACCATTGATTCCCATGTGAAGCAAAGCACATTGCCACTGCCCTTGCCCCCAAACCCACTCTCAGCCATTTTTGGCCATGGAACCTCCACAGAAGAAGAGCAAACTGCAGCAGCTGCTGACCTTCAAAGCTGCTTTGCCAGGTCACTCCCAAAGTGCACTGGCTGCTTTTGTGGAAGTCGCCAAGGAACAAGGCCTCCCAGAGAAGAGCTCTTCCAATGACCAGCGGAAAGCCAGGGAGGAGCTTCTACAGAGCTGCCATGGTGGGCTACTGGGTCCTTTGATCCAAGAAGCAGAGGTCACCACCGATGATGGTGCCAAAGTCACCATGTACTTTGCCAACCTCTTGGTTTACCTGGCCAGTCTTTTCCAGATGGGTGGAAGCTTCCATGATCTGATCCAAAGGAAGCACCGAGCCAACCCATCATCCGTCTCCAAGCCATGGCAACTTATACTTTATGCAGATGAGGTGATACCAGGAAACGTCTTAGGACCTGCCCAACGTAAATTTTGGGCCATTTATGCCAGCTTCAGGGAGATGGACCAATTCCTCCACCACGAGGACCTCTGGCTGACCATCTCTCTTGAAAGGTCCAACTTCGTGAGCCATGTCCAGGGCGGCATCTGCCAGATCATGTCCAAGATCTTGGAAACCATTTTCGCCAATGCCCACGTGGAACCATTGGCAGGGTTTGTGTTGAAATCCCCACATGGCCCAGGTTCCGATGTCCGGCTCCATTTCCGGTGGGCCATATGTCTGGCAGACGGCGGTGCCCATAAGCAGATTTGGTCTTCCAAAGGTGATTCTGGTACCAAATTTTGCATATTATGCGCCAACATCCACTCAGGACCACCCACAGGCGACAACGACGACATCATGGACCACCGCACGACCAAATACAGCCAATTGGTTTTGACCACTGATGAAGACGTCATCCAGTCCTACCGCAGATTAGACGAAAGGCGAGCCACGTGCAGGACCAAAGCAGAATTCTCGCAATGGCAACAAGCCACCGGTTGGACCTGGAATCCCCAGGCCTTGCTCCTGAACCAGACTTTGTTGGCGAAGAACCAAGTGAAGCCAGTCAGCCAGTTCTGCCATGACTGGATGCACGGCATTCTGCAAGGAACGGCCCCAGTCGTGCTGTTCCAGAGCTTCCAAGCCATCTCCGAGCACTACAACATTTGGGAGGCCATGGGCCCATACATAAGGATGTGGAACTTTCCAGGTGCTTCCAAGGCCGGTCACTTGGCTGGTTTGTTCGACACAAGCAAGGTCGCCAAGTACAAGAGCAGCCAGAAGTTCAGTTGCCAAGCTTCGGACCTCCTAGGGCTTTATCCAATCATTCGCCATTTTTTGCATTCTGTTGTTGTGTCAAGCGGAATCTGCCCAGAGGCTTGCCAAGCTTTCTTGAGCCAGGCCTGCTTGATCGACCAGGTTCACCAAGGGGTCATGTATGGAGCCACCACCAGAGCCAGCCTTCTCAGGGCTGCGGAAGAATCCATCGAGACCTTCCAACAGGCCAACTTCGACGTGCCACTGATGCGGAAGTGGCACTGGCTGCTCCACTTGCCTGATATTCTCCAACGGCATGGGTGCCTGCCATCGACATTTACGAGCGAACGAAAGCACAAAACCATATCTGCTTTCGCCACAAGGCTCCAGAAAACAGCCGCCTTCGAGATCCACTTGCTCAACCAGGTGCTCGCCACCGAGATCACCACTTTGACACAGGCCGGGCTGTTTCCAGACTCCTGCCAGTTGGTGAAGCCAAAGAAGCCCAACAAGCACCAGCTGCAATTCCTCAACCAGTTTGTGGATTGCTCAGCAACTGAAGCCATGGTTGCCTCTATCGCGAGGCTCGCAAGGGGTGGTGCCATCCATGCCAACGACGTCGTGGTGTTCCACCAGGAAGACGGAAGATGGGACATGGGCCAAGTGCTTTTCCATTTGGAGCTTGGAGGCGACAAAGCCACACTCGTCCAACGTTGGAGGCCAACAGAGACACAGAAGACAAAGCAGTTCGCCAAGTGCTCCATCACCAACGAGCAAGGCTTCGTGTCCATGGACTCCTTGCTGTACCCAATGGTGTACAGCAAGACCACAGAGAGGGAGGCCACTGTGCTGCTACCGTACCAGCTGTACCACAGGCTTTGAAAAACAGTGCTTCTCAATCCGCCACAAGGCTGTACCACATGCACATGACATTTTTAGCCCTATAGGCCATGCACGACAGCCTGTCCATGCAGGCCATTGACATGTATTTTTGCTTTAAATTTGTTTGACAAGCTACATGTTTTATATATTTCATTTCCGATACCAGTGTTTATGCTCCATGAAGTGTCTTCTCATATCAGAGTCCCTAGCCTAAACCTCAATGCCAAAACACACAAGTTACTTCTACAATTTTGATGTCTATAACATAAGCTAACTCCACCTAACTTTTTAGCTAACTAACATAACTATGTTAACCACTTATAAAACAACCAGGATTCCAAGTAGTCGCCGTACCCCAAAACTGTAACTTCTTAATCTTCCTTAAACGAAGGGATATTGGGCTGTCTTCGTGTGGCACTTCTGAGTCCAACACCTTAAACCCCTAAGACACTGTTGGGAGCCTCATATGCCCGGTGACAAGAAATCATCCTTCAGGATACAGAGGGGTCTTACTGACGCCGATGGGGCTTTGGGGTATGATGTGCTGGAGTAGTTATAGCAAGGACTAAGGACCCTCAAGGAATCGCATTGAAGGCCCCTCTAGCCTCTAGTTGAACAAGAAAGCGGACCTTCAGATTTGATCTGGGTCAAGCGTTTTGCAGATGGTGCACGCAAGACCTGTCCTGATGAAGACTGGCGTTCCTCGTATTAAGCCCTCAGGGCCCACAGGACGCAGCAACTATGTACTTGGGTTGGGGATAGAATAACTTAGGAGGGAGTCTATAGTTCTATGGTAACGGACTGCATAAGAGGGTATCGGCGCCTTAGAACTGCAACGCCAAAGCATGGACCGAGACCCTCCACCACGCCGGCTTTCTGGACCGAGGGGTTGTATAGGGTATAGTAGGGTTTAGGGGTTGTTAAGGTTTCATCTGGCAAAAGCTGCAGGAGTTGTATTTCTTGCTCCCCAAACCAGACAGAATAATCGGCCATGACCTTCACGCAAGTTCAGGCTCATGAGGTTGGATGCAGCGGGGTTCTTCTAGAGCCCATAGCTGCGCTTTGCAACTCCAGTTTATGATCATTCAAGAGGTCGGAACCAATATTGATCATCTTCATTGATTGTTTTTTGGGTTATCAGCATACCTTAGCAACATTAGTATGAGGCCCCACGCGGTAAAATCAAGCAAAGCACCCTCTTCTAAGTAGCAGGGCCAAGTTACTGAGGTGACCGCATCCCCCGAGCCGGCGCAGCCATCACCGCAGCCGAAGGTGACAGCGCTGACCCAGGTCGAGGTTCAGGCCGGGTTTGGGGTTTGGGATTTAGGCTTTCGGGTTTGAGGCTGTGTAAGGCTTGCTGTTTAGGGGTTGGAGTTTAGGATTCAAGGTGTAGGTTTGGCTTTAGGGCTAGTTTTGACTAGAGTTTGGGTTTACAGGTTTAGGATTCTGGCCGATTTGTGCATGCCACCGGGGGGTCTGCAAAATGCATGGGCCGAAACGGACCCATATTCTTCCTCAGGGTTCCTATTCTACTTGTCTATAGGGATAAGTCATGGTTGGTGGGCCGGGGGGCCGCGGAAGGTGCTCTCGATGTTTCATCTCGAGAGACTCCAGAGATTCTCCCAGGGTTCAGGGCATTAGGCTGCATTGGGGTGTAGATTTCTGTGAGTTTATGGAATTAGGGTTTAAGGTCGTTGAGGTTTTAAGGTGTTGTTGGGGTTTAGGGTAATGACTAGTGCTTTAGATTCGGAAGGTCGAAATTTCTGCAAACTGCCTCCGCTACGGCTTGCACTTGAGCCTGCTTTCAGGCTTCTAAGCATAGGGATTCTCCTGCTTAGAGTGTATATGTTTAGGGTTTAGAGTGTCGGTCTCCTGTGTGCGACTCAGGTCCGTTTCCGCCTTAGTGAAGCCCCGACGCCCTTAACTCTGAACCCTAAAACACCCTAGACCTCCCAACTGAAGCCTGAACCCCAATGACAAAGACAGAATCGATCTACAGCATCATACCCGCCGCACCTCCCGCCCAAAAAAGCAGCTCTGTCTTGTCCTTGCTCTTTCTTTCTCTCTCTCTATATATATATACACATGTACTACAACTTGTATATATATATATATATATATATATATTTATTTATTTATTTATGTTATAGCTCCTTACATAGCTATGTACTTGAAATTACCATAACCGTGCGTCTATGCAAATACAGACATGCACATGTAGACAAGTGCAACTTACAGCTAAAAATCGGAAAACACAGACTGCACACTGCACACATCTCCTTGCAAAAGAATCGAATGACTGAATCGAATGCATCTCCCAACTGGTCGAGGCTTTGCTGGCGAAGCGCCGGAGCGAAAAGCGCGAGTTCGTTTGCTTTACTGGGCCGGGTCGCGCCTGCCGCCTCTGCCGGGATTCCGAGGCCCAAAGGGCCACGGTTTCGGTGTCAGGTTTGGCAAGAAAAGCAGCGTATAGCCTAAATGGTAATCTCTG